GCGCCACACCAGGTGGAAGTTAAGAGAGGTGAGCAACAGTCTATGGTCCACATATCCTCTGATACGAAGATAATTTGAGATTCTTCTCTCATTATTTTGGGCCAACAACAACAACAACAAAAACAGATCAGTGTGATCCCACTCAGTAGGGGAAAGCTCTGAGAAAGAGCCATAATATAACTAGCGAGAACACTATCGTGTGACCTTACAGCCACGGGCTTTAAACATGGGAAGTAAAGTTGGATGAGGATGAAGAGAAGAAAGGAGTTAAAGGTTGTTGAAGAATGAGTGAATGAAGTTTTGATTCAAGAAAGCTTCTATTTATAGAAAGGTGGCAGCATAAACGATGGCGCAATCAATGCCTTTGGGAAGCGTATCGATAGGCCAATCAATGCTTTTTGGGAGATGGATCGACGGCGATATTATCGCCTTGAGAAAATAAACTGGCGCTACATTGAATGCTTCTGGAAAGATGTACCGATGGGACGTCTCAGTTATCATAAAAGCTTACGTCATAAGCATGATATCATTACAAGAGGCTCGAGGAGATCGGTGTCAAAATCATTTCTTATCATTCTAATCTAAGAAACGTGGGGACTATCTATATACGGCAAAAATCAGAGGATCCGATTTTGTGACCGTTGAGGCACCTCGTAAAGACCACCCCAGAAGGCTCGAAGTTCAGCTCGGGGCTCGGCCTTGAGGGTTCTCAAAGATCGACCTCGATGCAGTACAAATAAACGGTGATGATGGACAACGAGAAGTTCCCAAGGCATGTGACTAAAGCTGACCAAGTCTATTAGGCTAGCTCAAACCCATACCGTGGGATTAAATGGCTGTACTAGTTGTATATCTTTGTAATAAATCAATTTGTACTATATTTGGATTCCCCCTGATATATAAAGGGGATCCTTGTCATTTTGTAACGATATAATTTCACTCACAACATTCAATACAGGAACATTCTTTGCTCTCTAACTTAAACATTCTCTCTTGATTTCACTACTTATATTTATTGCTTACATTTAATGTGTTCTATTTATTGTTCTTCATTTATTTCTCATTATTGACCATAAAGAGACTTCATCAGAGCTCTCAAAATTGTTAGTCCTTCATCGGTTGTCCATAACTTAGCATCGAGCTCAACCTCGAGGTCCTGTTTAGTCAGGCTCGAGGCCCCGATTCTCAGCCACTCGGTTTGCTTAAACATATTGTTTTTAAGTTCCTATCTTATTTCCTAGTTTCATACTTAGCATCTATTTCCTAACAACTAGTATAAAAATAGATCATGTATTTTTAGAACCACAAAATCAAATTTTATTATAATTACCATTTTCAAGGTAAACATCCTCGTAATCTGGATCATTGTGATCAACAGTTTCATTACATGTCATAATCGTGGAACGCGGATTTTTATCAGTTTGATTATTGAAAATAAAAATCTAAGTATAAATAAAGCGGTAAATAAAGTTGTAATATTTAGGAAAATTATTCTTTTTATTTTATCAAAAGGGGAACATCTTAAGTGTTCACAGGAGGCAAATGACAAAAGGGTGTAGACACGGTACAAGCCTCAATTGACCGTGCTCTTTTAAAAAGAAAACTTCTGTATTTCCATACTACCAAGACTCTCGGCGAACCAAAGATGGACTGGTGGTCCAATTCTGCAGCTCTTTCCCTTGGTTCAGCATCCCTGATAGTTGATGTCTTGATGTCAGTTCCTTCACAGCATTCTTCAACAATATTCACGAACAACTTTCCCATCCCGTCGATGATATCATCTTCGGGTCCTGAACTTTGTCCCGGACTTGCAACATGCTCTGACACAAAAACCTTTTTCCTAGAGATGGCGGTGTGAGCTTTCCCTTCCAGATACTGGTATCTTATGCCAGTCCTTCCTTTCTGCCCATTATGTTTAATTGGCTCTGTGATTCCATCTGACTTGGCCCCAACCCTGTTCCTAGCCTGTATCCATATTTCCCCATCTCAGCTTCATGATCTCCACAGTCTGGAAGGCAACTCCATCCAGCTCTTCAATGAATGGAACAATATACTCCAAATAGACGGAGTGACCCCATTCGCCATGAACCACGATCTCTTGTCATCCACACTTAAATTTTATGCATTGGTGCAAAGTGGATGGCACGACCCCTGCCATATGTATCCAGGGCCTGCCTAGCAACAAGTTGTAGGAAGATGAGATGTCCATCACTTGAAACAACATAGGAAAATCGACCGGCCTGATCTGTAAGGCTAAATAAATTTCTCCATTAACATCCTTTTGTGAACCATCAAAGGCTCTCACCCTTACGTGGCTTTCCTTGACTTCCCTCAAATGAATTCCTAACTCCCGCATGGTGGAGAGTGAACAAACATTGACTCCTGACTCTCCATCGACCAGCACCCAGGACACCACTTTGTCCCCGCATTTGACAGTGATATGAAGAGCCTTGTTGTGACTTGCGCCTTCAACAGGGAGTTCGTCTCTTCTGAAAATGATCATATTTGCTTCGATCATTTTTCCATTGTCGCGGCCAGCGCCTCACTAGTGGTGTTACTTGGTATATTTACCTTGCTTAGTACTTTTAACAGGGCATCCTTATGACTGTTAGAGCTCATTAATAGATCCATGATATATATCTGTGCTAGAGTTTTCTTCAGCTGCTCTTCCACAAAATACTTTTTTCTTGACATTTTTTCCAAAACTCTACGGCTTTTGAGTCTGTTATGTTTTTCCTTGGAATTTGTTCTCTCCTCAGATTTCCTCGATACATGTTCAGGGGCATAACATCTCCCGAACCTAGTCATGCCATGGGCTACAACATAGTCTGTTATTTTGGCATTTCCCTTTTGCTGGTATGTCTATGGGACGGTTTTGTACTCCCGACCTTCTTCGTCTTGAGTAGCATCGGCAAGTTGCCGTGGATAAGTCTAAACCATTATCGTAGGCCTCAGTTGTACTGTAATGATCGGAGCCTTTTGAGGAGGGATCCCTGTGGCTTCTGCATTTCCTATAGTGACAATTGTTCCCTTCAGGTCATACTCTTCGTCTAATGTGATCATGTTAGCTCCCTGTTTTCGATGATTTGGCAGTGAGTTGTGATTCACATTAGGTGGTGCCGGAGTGCATTGAATGGCTCCGCTCTTGATTAGGGTTACAATTTCATTTTCCAACTTGAAACAAATCTTGAGTGTCATATCCAAGTATATTGGAATGGTACGCATCTTTTAGTGGCATCAAAAGACTTGGAGGGATGTTGAGGAACCCTTCCCTCAATTGGGTGTATCAATCATGTTCTTCTCAATTTCATTTTTCAACATCTGAGGTGACCAGACATTTGATTTGACTAGACATTGACATGACAGGACATTTGATTTGACTAGACATTGACATGACAGGACATTTGATTTGACTAAACATTTGATGTGACATAACATAATGCAATGGTGATACTTTTTTATACAATGGGAAATGACAAGAGTGTACTATTACACATTGGGTAAAAGATAGTCTTTTAGTACAAATAAAAGGGGAACAAAACCCTAATAATATCTCATACCCCTCTCATTCTTAATCTACAACCCCTAACCCCATTGTCATCTCATTTATCTAAACTTTTGAGAGACAAAGGTTGTCGTCGGCCAGTCACCTTCCATGGCACAATAGCTGTCTAAACCAATAGTGCTCTCTCCATCTTCCTCTCAAAATTGAGAGCTACAACCGTCTCTCACACACTATTGCTGCCCTTCTCCCCTCTTGCCGCCCGCCAGACTTCATCATCAGTGATTGCTGGTGATGATCTCTCTTCTCTGTTGGATGACCAAGAAAAAGAACTCCGGTGGACTCTACAGAAGTCAAACGGCCTAGATCTGGCGTTAAGCATGGGTTCTCTTTATTTCTGTTGGACGCTCGACCTCGCTGGAGTTCATCGCCAGCGAGTCGCTTGTGTCCATTGATGTTGCCTTACTGAATTTTGAGGTTTCTCATCATCTCCGAATTCTAATGATGAAAAATGAACGACGACCTCTTCTCACAGTTGTGGCATCAGATCTGGCCGGTTTATAATTTTCCCGCTAACTCACGTGTTTTTCCGTTGAAACTGTTATGACTGGGTCTCTACCATGCTGTCGTTGTTTCAGTGCTAGTGCCGTCGAAGCAACGTCTTTGAACTGGATCTTGTTTGGTCGTTCTTGCTATTTTTCACGACCGGAGCATGGCCGGAAATGGAGTATTTGGCCATTTTTTTTATGAGTTCGGTATTGGACCATTCATTAATGGTCTTCTTTCCATAAAACGTTTTGTTACCTCAATGTTATCATTCTCTTGTGTATTTTCTCCTTGCTATTCTGTTAATCCTCATTATCATAAACTGACTGTCAAATTTTTGTGCTATGTTGTTGCCCCCTCCTCCCCCATGTGTCACGACCCTAATTTTCCTCCGTAAGATGTCGTAATGACACTTAGTCTCTAAGATTAGGTAAGCCTAACAAACATGCGGAATATAACTGAAATAACAAATAAACTCTCAGACAGGGGTGGGCATCGGTCGGTTCGGTTCGGTTTTGAATATTATCGGTTTTGCCTATCGGTTATCGGTTTACAAATATCATGATCCGATAACCAAACCGATAAGATATTGGTTATCGGTTAATCGATTATTGATCATTATCGGTTCGATTATCGGTTTACCCGATAAGGTAAAACTAAAATTAGGAGTGCTGATTGCTGAACGTTTGTACAAAGTTTACTGGAAACTGCAATATATTGTGGCAGAAGCCGCAGAACTACAAGCATTTGATGAATTTAAACTTCAGTTTAAACTGCACATAAAGCTGCACATAAAACCAACATTTCTCACAATAATTTCAGTTTAAACTTCTCACTGAATAATTTCAGCACACAAAGCTGCACATTTTTTGCCTCAAACTAAACATACCCAGTACCTCAATTGCCTGCATACAAAGTGCAAACAGCTCAAAATTCCAATCTAACAAAAATAGGAGATAAAAAGATCCCAACTTTCACAACCCAAAAACAGATGTATACACAGTAATGTCCAAACTCCAAAGTAATAGTTCAAACACATTAATAACAATGCAAAGTAGTAGAAACCTTAAGATTAACAAGTCTAAAGTCCAAACATAATACTAATAGTTCAAATTCAAGTAAACAACACAACAACTACTCAATCCTTATAGGCTTCACCAAATTATGCTCCAAACAACGCTCAACATGCCTCATTAAGGACTTAGTACCAGTTTCTCGTGCATTGTAACATAAAACAAGATGACAATAACTACATCTTACTTTCCACCATCCATCATCACCTTCTTCAATCCTTTCATAGTGACTCCAAACATGTGAGATAGCTTTGAGACCACAAAGTCGAGGCATGGTTACACCTATTAAACATAAAAAGAAAATATATTAAGTAAGTAATATTTGTAATCATACTATATGTTATATAAGTTGAATAATTAACTTACCAAAGTTTTAACTTACAACTATCTAAGATTCTACATATCATCATAGCAGGGTTCGTTTCCAAGATTGGCAAAATCTATGAGAATATATATTAACAAGTCAAACAACAAAAATATTAAATAAACTATTTATAAAAATAATATACAATCAAACAAATTAAAATATTGCTACCTTGTTCTAGTTGCCCGAGAACATCTAAATCTTCCTCAACACTTACAGGTAATGGCTCACTTCGAAGCCAATCTTGAAGGCACAAGAGAACTTCCACCAATTTAGGAGTCAATGAACTCCTAAATGAATCAAGAATACTCCCTCCAGTGCTAAATGCACATTCAGATGCAACACTTGAAATAGGAATAGATAATACATCTCGAGCCATCTCAGCAAGAATGGGGAATCTAGGTGAGTTTACTTTCCACCAAAGCAATATATTACCGTCTGCTATTTCATTTTCAACTTCTTCTGTAAGATATTTTTCCAATTCTGATTTAGAATCTGAACCTCCAATCCCAGCTTTTGTGTCTTTTTAATTCTTCAAAGAAAGAACCAAAAGATCCATTTGAAGTTTCCATTGTGTCCAATGAAGAGTTAGATAAACATGAAGAGGGATGACAACCTTTATCTTTTGAATGAGACTTTACATACTCATCAAACAATGAAGTCATGTGTGTATGCACTCCCTTCGCGATAATTGGCCCTTTCTCTTCGAACATCTTCGCAAGTACAAAACTAACAGAATCAAACTTGTACCGAGGATCCAAAACACATGAAATGAAAATCATTTTGTTCATTTTTTCTGGATCACCCCAATAATTATCAAATTTCTCCTTCATCTTCTTTGCCATTGAACCCAACAAAACATCTTCATTTAATATCAATTGTTTCAAGTAAACAGCAACTTCACAAATTTCAAGAAAATGATGATTTGATGTAACATAAAGTGAGCCAGATACCTTTACAGTAAGCTTATAAAAGATTTCAAGAAATTTTGTCAATTTCTTTACATCCTCCCAATCACTACTCAAAAGTGTACCTGCAGGACTTCCATTTACAATNACAGGACATCCATCCACGATATCAACAAACTCAAGATGATGTGACAAGCCAATATCATGATCAGCATATTCTAAAATTGCACTCTCATATTCAATAGCCCTGTTCAACATTAAGTATGTAGAATTCCACCTTGTAGGAACATCCAAACATAAAGATTTCCTAACTAGATTTCCTTCATCACAACATTCCTGAAACTTTTTCCACCTAGCAGGAGACTGCCTGATATATCTCACTGCTTGCCTAATACGTTCAATAGACACAATTGATTCTTTTATACCATCCTGAACAACAAGATTCATAATATGAGCCATACACCTCACGTGAAGGTGCTTACCATTCATAGAATTGGTCCCCCATTTAGTTAACTTCTTAGAAAGCTCCTTCACCGTTACATCATTTGAACTAGCATTATCAACTGTGACAGTGAAAATCTTTTGTAACCCCCACTCTTTCAAACAATTAACAATACTATTTTCCATATCTTCCCCCTATGACTAGAAATTGGACAAAAGTTGACAATTCTTTTATGCATTTTCCATTCACTATCAATCCAATGAACAGTAATACACATATAATTTATTCGTTGTAAGGAAGTCCAAGTATCAGTGGTAAGGCAAACTCTCTGATCTTTAAAAAGCTTCACCAACTTACGTTTTTCATCATTGAAAAGATCAAAACAGTCCCGAGTCACAGTTCTACGTGAAGGAATTCGAAAAAAAGGTTGTGCAACTTTCATAAAATTCATAAAACCTTCCTTTTCAACAAAGCTGAAAGGAAGTTCATCAACGATCACCATACGACACAAAGCCTTCCTACATTGTTCTTGATCAAATTTCCAAGGAACAACAGCTACATCACCCTTATTACCCCCCGGAATAGGTTTAAAGCCTATTTTTAATTGACTTTTTGCAACATCTAAAGGCATTTTTATACACTTGGCCATATGTGTAAGGAGTGATTTCGTACCATTATCTTTTGAATCGGCAAAATATTCTCTTTTGCAATGTTTACAAACACCCTNATGACAGTGAAAATCTTTTGTAACCCGCACTCTTTCAAACAATTAACAATACTATTTGCCATATCTTCACCCCTATGACTAGAAATTGGACAAAAGTTGATAATTCTTTTATGCATTTTCCATTCACTATCAATCCAATGAACAGTAATACACATATAATTTATTCGTTGTAAGGAAGTCCAAGTATCAGTGGTAAGGCAAACTCTCTGATCTTTAAAAAGCTTCACCAACTTACGTTTTTCATCATTGAAAAGATCAAAACAGTCCCGAGTCACAGTTCTACGTGAAGGAATTCGAAAAAAAGGTTGTGCAACTTTCATAAAATTCATAAAACCTTCCTTTTCAACAAAGCTGAAAGGAAGTTCATCAACGATCACCATACGACACAAAGCCTTCCTACATTGTTCTTGATCAAATTTCCAAGGAACAACGGCTACATCACCCTTATTACCCCCCGGAATAGGGTTAAAGCCTAGTTTTGATTGACTTTTTGCAACATCTAAAGGCATTTTTAAACACTTGGCCATATGTGTAAGGAGTGATTTCGTACCATTATCTTTTGAATCGGCAAAATATTCTCTTTTGCAATGTTTACAAACACCCTTTTGATTTCCTTCCGGATCAATAATTTGGTCGAAATATTCCCATGCAACAGACCTCTTTTTTCTTTGTTTTTTTGCTTTCGATTGAACTGATTGAGATTGTGATGTGGCATTNGTTTTTTACCCGTTACTGAACCGTTAACTCAATAACCCAATACCGATAACCCAATAAGTAATTAACGGTTCGAGTTATCGGTTTTACCCGATATATGCCCACCCCTACTCTCAAATACTAAACAATTTTAAAAAAGAAAACTCCACAACTCAGTGTTTACAATTTCCCCAAAACCTGGTGAAATCTAGTCACAAGCTCTACAGCGATGTCATAATCATCCATATACAATGAGACTAAGTCCAAATTTGTTCTAGATTCGATCTGAATCACACTCGGGGTTCCCAGGACCCCGTCTGAATATACCAACAAGTTCCAAAATACATAACGGACCTACTCAAGGACAAAAATTACATCAAACAACATCTATTCCATGAATCACAACTCAATTCAAGCTAATAAAACTATGAACTTCCGAATTCCAAAACTAATGCCGATTCATGACAAAATAACTTCGATTAACTTCAAATTTTGCACACAAGTCATAAATGACATAATGGATCTATTCCAACTTTCGGAATCAGAATCCTACCCGATATCAATAAAGTCATCTCCCGGTCAAACTTTTCAACCTTCAACTTCCTAGCTTTGGCCAATTCAAGATGAAACGACCTATGGACCTCTAATTCGACATCCGGACACACTCCTAAGTCCAAAATTACCATACGGAGCTATTGGAACCGTCAAAACTCCATTCTGAAGTCGTCTACACAAAAGTCAAACAACGCTCAACTCTTTCAACTTAAAATTCCAACTTAGGGACTATATGTCCCATTTCACTCTGAAACTCACCCGAAACCAAAAACAAACACCCTCGGCAAATCACATAACCATAATACAACATAGTGGAGGCAATAAATGGGGGATTATGGCCAAAATATTCAAAAAGACCGGCTGGGTCGTTACATACTCCCCTTGAACGAGTATAGAGACATACCTGAAGTGGTGAAAAGATGAGGATAACAGCTACGCATATCATGCTCGGTCTCCCGAGTCGCCTCCTCGACTAGTTGAACCCTCTACTAAACCTTCACTGAAGCAATGTTCTTCGACCTCAACTTTCGAACCTATCTGTCCAAAATGGCCACCGGCTCCTCAATATAAGACAAATCCTTATCCAATTGGACTGAGTTGAAGTCTAACACATGAGATGGATCACTGTGATACTTCCAGAGCATAGAAATATGGAATACTGGATGATTTGCAGGTAAACTAGGTGGCAGGGCAAGCTTGTAGGCCACCTCTCTAATCCTCTCAAGAATCTCAAAAGGTCCGATATACCTAGGGCTTAACTTGACCTTCTTCTCAAACCTCATAACACCCTTCATGGGCAAAACCCAAAGCAAGACCCGCTCTCTAACCACGAATGCAACGTCACAACCTTTTCGATCTGTATAACTCTTCTATCTAGACTGGGCTGTGCGAAGCCGATCTTGAATCAATTTAACCTTTTCCAAATCATCTTGAACCAAGTCTGTACCCAATAGCCTAGTTTCACCCGGCTCGAACCAACCCGCTGAAGACCAACACTACCTCCCATACAAGGCCTTATGCGGAGCCATCTGAATGCTCGATTGGTAGCTGTTGCTGTAGGCAACTCCGCAAGTGGTACTTATCCCAAGAACCCCTAAATTCCATCACACATAGCATATCCTCCAATGTCTGAATAGTATGCTCGGACTGTCCGTCTGTCTGAGGGTGGAATATTGTACTCAACTCAACCCGAGTGCCCAACTCTCATTGTACGACCTTCTAGAATCGTGATGTAAACTACATACCCGATTAGAGATGATTGATATCGGCACGCCATAAAGTCTGACAATCTCGCGAATATAAACCTGAGCCAGCTGCTCTGAAGAATAATAATCACCACTAGAATGAAATGAGCCGACTTCGTCAACTTATTAACAATCACACATACTGTATCGAACTTCTTCTGAGTCCATGGGAACCCAACAAAAAAATCCATAGTAACCTGCGCCTATTTCCACTATAGAATCTCTAGCCTCTAAAGCAATCCACATGGCCGTTGATGCTCATACATCACCTGTTGATAATTTAGGCACCGAGCTAAGTACTTCACTATGTATTTCTTCATCCTCCTCCACCAATAGTGCTGCCTCAAGTCCTGATACATCTTAGTGGCACCTGAATGAATGGAGTATGCGAACTGTGGGCCTCTTGAAGAATCAACTCACGCAACCCATCTACATTGGGCACACGTAGCATGCCCTACATCTGTAACACTATCATCCCCAATAGTGACCTCCTTGGCATCGCCATGCTGAACCGTGTCCTTAAGG